GGACCCCCAACACCCTGCCACACAGCTAGGGCCTATGGTCTGGGCGGGAGGGGCTGGTGCCCGGGCCTTGGAGACCTTGGCACGGGGCAGAGTGGTGGTCCCTGCCCACGACTGGTCAGGAGCCTACCTTTAGAGACCCCTTTAGGCCACTGTGTCCGGCCAATGCGGGAGCCCGCATGCCGCTGCCCAGGCCTGACAGAGCTGGGCAGCTGGCCGGCGGGGTCGGGGGCCACCTGCTTGGGGCTCATTGGCCGCCAGCCCCAGGCCCCTCTGCCTGTTGCCCAGGCTTCGCTGCACCGTGGGGCTGGGAAGGGCCCGGTGGGGACTGTCCGTGCAGGGGGGCCGGGAGCTGAAGCCCGGGCAGCTCTGGGCGGGGGCACACGTCGGGCCCAGCTGCCCAGCACTGGTGGAGCCAGGCCGGGTCCCCCACTCGAGTGCCTCTCCTGGCCACACGGTTAGGGCCAGAGCCGGGGTGCCGATGGAGGCTGTGGTGAAGCAGAGACATGCTTTCAGACCCCCAGCGAGCCACCGGGTCCGAGGCAAAGGGCAGTCCCAGGACAGCCGGGCGTGGGGAGGGTAGGTGAACGAGGAAGGGTGCGGGCCAGGGCTGCCTCAGACCTGGACCTGCCGGCAGGTCCCCACAGGAGGGGTGCTGGCTCGGGCCCCGGGCGAGGCTGTCTCAGGAGCCCCGCCCATGTCTGCCGTTGCCACCCCCACTGCCCTCCACCGCTGTCTGGCTGCCCCAGTCAAAACACCCGCCTGAGGGCCCAGGGTGGCGGACCTCTCACCCCCAGTGGGCATTGCCTCCTGGTGCCCTGCTGGGCCCGGCAGCCTCTTTCCAAACTCTCATTTTAGCCCTAACTGAACGGGCACTTCCCGAGCGCCCAGTGGGGCCAGGGCCTGTGCCAGCTGCTCGCGGGCCTGAAAGTCCAGCACAGTCCCTTCCCAGGGGTGGCTGGAGGTCACGGCTTCTGACCCAGCCCGGTTGGGGGGCTGCTTGCCAAAAAGTCCTGAGCAGGGAGGGGGCTGCGCCTGCTGGCAGCTCCGGGCCTGACCCAGCAGGGAGAAGCTGTGGGGAGTTCGGCCTGGCTGGAGACACAGTGATGGGCAAGACGGCCGCTCGCTGGGCCTCACAGGCTGGCCTGGGCCTGGGCTGGGCAGTAGGGGCCAAGCCAGGGGGTGCAGGGTGGTGAGCAGCCCACTTGGGTTGCGGACAGCTCGCTCTGGCCCTGCCAGGGTCCTGGGGGGAGGCTGGATGCAGAGGGGCGGGAGGTCGAGCTGAGGGGTCACGCCGCCAGGCAGGGGCGAGCCGGGAAGCGGAGGGCCCGGAACCCGGGCATATCCTGGGCCGTTTCTCCGGCTGCCTTTTATTTTTTTATTCCTCACCAGAGGATATTTTTCTATTTATCATCAGAGAGAGTGGGAGGGAGGGAGAGAGAGACAGAGAGAAACATCGATGTGATAGAACCACACTGACTGGTTGCCTGCCGCACAACCCCAGCAGGGCCGGGACGAACCGCAACCGAGGCGTGCGCCCTTGACCGGATCGAAGGATCGCACCCAGGGCTCCCTGGTCCGCCGGCCGACGCTCTACCCGCTGAGCCAAACCGGCCAGGGCGCCTCTGGCTGCCTTTATTAAGCAGTTGCTGTGGTCGACCAGGCCCTGAGTTTACATGTCTTGGCTCCAGCAGCCCTTCCCCGCCCCCTTGGAGGGCTCTTCCACCGCCCCCTGCAGACAGGGCAGAGGGCAGAGGTGCACCCTCCAGCCCTTCCTCTCCTGGCTCTGGGCCCAAAGCCCAGGAGAACCCCGGGCCGAGCTGACACAGGCCTCGGAGACGGGCCCACGGCCAAGCCCGGTGCCCTGAGGTGCCATCTTCCTGCCGGGCTCTGGAGGGCACGCTCCTGGAGAGACGTGGCCGGAGGAAGTGGGCGCCCCAGGAAGTGGACAGCCTCCCAGCCGCCCCCCGCCCCTCCCCCCAGCAGATGCTCCCAGCACCCATTGGACACTGAGGACCTCGATAAGAGAGCCCTACATGGAGACAAAGGCGGGCTCAGGACGAAGCTCATGGAGATTGTCAGTGTGAGCAGCCGGGCTGCCTGGAGCCCACAAAGGGCGGGGGAGGGGCTGTGAATGGGCCTGGCCTGCACATGCCACCGTTGCCCGGGCGACGGCCCTCTCCCGGAGAGGTCTGCTGGGCCATTGTCCGGGGCACACAGGACGTGTCATACACCAGATGGCCGTGTGCTGTCGAAGTCAGTTATCGGGGGACAGAGTGAAGGAATGCGGCCGGCGCGGCGGGCCGGGGCGCCATCTGTTCCTCAGACCGCGGGCACCGGGCGGGCATTGAGTGCCGGGCCGGTCGGTCGGGCCCAGCCTCCACCGGGGGCTTTAATTAGCTAATTCCATAATTGGGCTTTATTTCAGGTAAATTGCATTTCACACTCGAGAGGGCTCAACGGCCCGTCCAGCAGCGGAGCCCTCGGGTGCTCTGTGCCCCCTGGAGAACACGGGGACAAGGCTGGCTGGGCGCAGGGCCGCGTGGCCCAGGTGGGCGCCCGCGAGGGCAGAGGCGCTGGGGCCAGTTCCTGTGCTGCGGGGGCTGGGCCGGGGGCTCGAGGAGGGCCCTGTTCCCCAGCCAGCCGCTTCCTGGGGTTTCGCAAATATTTACCCAACAAGGAAACAACAGCTTCTGCCTTTCCAGTAATTGTTGCTCCCGCCCCTCCCCTGTGGTGCGGGCTGGGGCGGCCCCAGGCTTGCTTCGCCCCCTCCCCTCCCCTGCGCTGGCCAGTCCCCACGGTGGGGCCAGGCTGGGCTCTGGGGAGCCCCTGGGGGACGGACACACAGTAGGGCTCAGCAGAGGGGGACCAGGTCCGTCCCTCCCTCGGGGCAAGCCGCCACCGCACGAAGAAGCCGGGGTCCCATCCTGACGTGGCCATCCTCTGCTTCCCACGCCCTCAGGACAGTCCCTCCCGATGCCCTAGCCCTGGGGGCCTGGGAGCCGTCAAAGGGTGTGTGCAGGCCCCATCCCCGCGCCCTGGCTGAGTGCGCACCTGTGAGCGGGAGGAGGGGCCTCGCAGAGCCCCGGGGACCCGCCCAGCCTCCGAGGAGCTGACCGGGCCTGAGAGAGCACCTGTACTGAGCTGGGGACACAGAGGCCTGGGGGCAGGCCTGCCCGCACGGGGGCCCCGGGCTCTGGGCCTTCCCTGCACCCTCCGAAATCAAGATTTGGTCTGTGCATCTCGAGCTCTGGGAGGAGGGGCCTGGATGGGCCTCGCTCTCAGCGGGGCTCATGGATCCTCACACAGGGCCAGTCGGGCCCGGAGGAATGATGGAGAGGCCCAAGCGTGTCCCCTAAGGTGGCTGCCCAGGGGTGTGGACTACAGTCCCAGTGCCCACAATTCAACCAGGCCAGGCGCTGGACTGAGTTCTGGGCTCTGAAGAGGTGCCCACCTCCCCAGGGGCTGCTAGGAGAAGGGCGGTGACCATCTCTTGACCATACCCAATGGCCAGGGCCACCCCAGGGGGAAGCCCCAAAGCCACGAGGGCCCCAGTCAGGAGGGACACCGAGCTGACCCACAGCCTTGGCCGGGTCTTGCAGCTTCTCTGGGCTCCGAACCCTGGCTCTCTCCTCTGCGGAGGGGATCGTGAGCTCCCTGAGCAGCAGCCCCTGGACACTTGCCCCCAAGGGGACTGCAGGGTCCTGTCCACGAGGGAGGCCTGGGGGCAGAAAGCTGGACCTCCTCTACTCCCCCGTCCCCTTGAAGGGTCACGAGGCCTGGAGGGTGGCTGCAGACCAAGGGCACACTTTCAACACATGGGGGGGGGAGGGGGTATTCCAGCAGGAGCAAGGCGCAGGGTGGGGCCTGTTCCCGGCCACCTCCTCTCTCTGTGCTCAGCGCATGTGGACAGAGCCGACCACGCTGGGGCCAGGAACAGGCATGGCCAGGCGTCCGGGTGCTCCCGGGGCCCCACGCCAGTGAGCTCTGGGCAGGTGTGGGCAGAGCGAGGGAGCCCCAGCGTGTTGAAGGGTGGCCGCCCTGAGGGAGAACAGGGTTGCCCCCAAGGGGGGTCTCCCCAGGAATCAAGGCGAGAGCAGTGGGGAGACCAGCCCCGTGACCCCACGTTTATTAGGAAAAGCCGGCACAAGAAAGAATCAAAATCACACCGTGAAACTCATTAAAACACAGATTCCAAATCACCACAAATGACTGATTTCTGTGAGCTGGGCTGTCCCGTGGAGGGGCTGGGCGCCCCCGCATGCGTCTGCCCAGCTGCGCGGACCAGGCAGGGAGTGCGAGGCTGCATGGGAGTGGGGTTGGGTGGCCCCCCTTTTCTCCGGAATGGGGAGAAGCTGCCAGTCCAAAGTAGGGCGCCTGTCCACCTCCACTCCATGGGTGGCCATTCTGCCCCAGTGAAGTGCTCTGGGGACAGCAGGGCCCGTCCCTTCTGTTGGAAGCTTGGGCCTTGGCCCATCAAGTAAGCGTCGCTGAAGACTGGAGTCAGGCCCGGGCCGGGGGCCCTGGGAGCAGGGCTCATTGGCACCCCTGTTTGGCATGGGCTGGGCCTGCCCTGCCCTGCCTGTCTCCTCTGGGTCCCCTGAGTCCTGGCTTCAGGCCCAGACAGTGGTGGCCATGGGCCCTCGGTCCCCCTCAGGAAGCACCCTGGGTGGACGTACCTGTCCTGCCTCCTGCCATTCATGGGATGGACCAAGGGCCAGGAGGCCCTGCCCCGAGGGCCCACCTGACCCGGCCACAGGGTCCCAATCACCACGCAAGCAATGTGGGGACCACCGTCTCAGAGCGAAGAGGGGTTCCCAGGCCCAGCCAATCTCTAGTACCCGCTGGCCAGGAAGAGGCGGCCCCAGTGAACCCCCAGCCCAGGCTCGTGCGGCAGCGTGCCCGAGGCCTGGGACAGAGTGCTGCTCTCGCGACCTCTCAGGAGGGGTCCAGATGGGGGCCCCGCTGAGTGGGAGGGGCGGGCGGGGGGCTCCTCCGGGTCTCCCTCGCAGGCCCCAGGCCCCCGTCAGGACCCCTCGTCGGGGCCCCTGCGGGGCACGGTCAGCTGTTCGTAGGTGGGCAAGGCGTTGCTGGGCAGGAAGAGCTCGGGGTTGAGGGGGCCTCGGCAGAGCTGCGCCACGTGGGCCCCGCCCCCGCCGGGGGCCTGGGTGCCCGGGGGGCCACCCTGGTGCAGAGAGAGCAGCTGGTGGAGCATGTCCGTGATGAGCACCAGCCTCCGGTCCAGCTGTGTCACCTGTGGGGACCAGAGCAGAGGTGAGTCAGGCAGCAGCGACACCCTGGCGGGCGCCTGAGGGTCCCCGAGTGAGCGATGCGAGGGTGTGCGGCTGCTCGCGTGTCCGTGTGGGCTCGGGCGGCCCAGCCTGGGCCAGCGTCTGGGCGGAGGCCTGCTCAGTGCCCCTGGGGTGACTGTCTGGGTGCTGTCGTGGTGGGAAGGACGGGTGGCCGGACCACCCACTGACGGGCCAGCGGCAAGAACACGGAGCTGCTATGGGGCAGAGTGTGGCCTGGGGAGGGGGCTCCTCCGGGGTGAGTCCTGCGACCGAGGACAGGATAGGCTGCTGTGGTGGTCTGTCCACCTGGACACCCCGTGGTGTGTGACGTCTGTGCCCAGGGCCAGGTGAGTGGGTGCTGGCTGGCAGGTGGCCAGGCCTCCGCAGTGGGTGTGGCAGTCACCAGCCCTCTTCCCACCGTGGACCCTGAACCAGACCAGGAGGTGGGAGAAGGGAGACAGGGCTGCCCCCTAACCGGAGTCCCTGTGGCAGGTGGGCCCGGCAGCCCTGGTCCCTGCGTCAGAATGGCGGCCTGTGAGGGGGCTGCGCCCTTCCCGGAGGCTGAGACCCAGGTGACCCCTCCCCAGCGTGAAGGCCAGGCCTGGTCTCTGCCTTCTCAGTTGGCACTGGGCCGAGCCCCACCTGTCCCTGGGGACAGCTACACTCCGTGGTCCCATCCCCCAGGCCAGAGGGACTGACCCTCGGTTGGCCCAGACAGGATGGTGAGAGAGCCCTGCTGCAGAGGGGGGAAGGGCTTCTCTGGGGGCTGCACCCTTATTCTCTGCAGAGCTGTGTGGGGACCAGGACCCGCTCCTATACCCCCACCTTCAAGAGGAGAAGGGCCTGGCTCGGGGTCCCCAGCTGGCCCCCTGCAGCCCTCACCCCAGGTTCCATGCTGGAAAGACAGTGTTGGCAGGAGGGGACGAGGGCAGGGGTCCGAGCTGGGCTCAGGTGAGCAAGGTGGGAGGGACACAGGGAAGAGACGTGGTCACACCCAAACCCGCCCCTCTCCTGGCTCGAGACCCCTGGGGCTTCCTCTGCAGCTGGACTGGCCCCCCAGTCCCCCAGCTTCTGTGCCCTGGGAGGCCTGTGGGGGGACGGCCCGGGCTTTGGGGTCCAGCTGGGCCTCGCATGCCGGTGGCTTGACCAAGGCTGGTCCAGGTGCGGCCTGAGGTCACTCAACACCAGACCCCAGCTTGGAGCACCAGCCGGCGTGGCGTCCATCGACGCACCAAACACGTCGCGGGAGGGGTCTGGGGTTTCCTGACCGGAACTTGACGGCACGTGAACACCTGTCAACGTCTCCCGACAAGCACGTGGTGTGGGCTTAGCGGGGTGCTCTCAGGAAGAGGAAAGTGCCCGGTGGCCGGGGTGCGGGGAGCAGTGGGGGCTGCTGGGCGTGGCCGGGGAAGGGGCAGAAGGAGTGGTGAACACAGGGCGGGTCGAGCCCCATGGAGCCCCCCCCAGATCTGCCCCTTCCCGGAGCTCAGCTGGACGCTATGCCCCTCCCCCCCCGGGGGCTGCCTGTTGCGCCCCCCGGCTCTGGTGCTCCGAGTTAGCCTGCCTGCCGAGCCCCTGGGCGCGTCGTGGCCTCTGCCCGCACACCTGGTCCGCCCCGCGGCCCCTCGGGTGGCACGGGCTTGGCCAGGCCGGGAGGCTGCGCCGGGGGCAGGCTGACCCTCGGCTGCTGCGACTTCCTCTCCGGAACGCGGCGAGGCCGCTCTCGTGCCAGTGGCTGTCTCGAGGGTGACGTGAGCCCGTCCACAGAGGAGCCCACGTAAGCAGTGTGAGCAAGACGTGAGCCAGACACTGTTCCCTGGGGCGGGGTCTCGGGTGGGACCAGGGCTCCACCGCTCAGGCCTGTGGGCGGCCCTGAGGGCCCCTTTGCTGGGAGGGCGCTGGGCCAGGGAGACGGTGGGCTGGTCCTCCTGGGTCTTCATGTGTCTCAGAGGGAGGGTCTCTGAGGTCGCCTCACCCTCTTGTCCAGAGCACAGGGGGTCTTTGTCTCACATGCACAGTGACTGGACCCCGCTGAGCGGGAGGGGCGGCCTTGGTCAAACCCAGCTGCAGGGAGGTACGTCTGTGGGGCAGGTGCCCAGGGTGCCCCACTACCCTCAGGGCACGGGGGCCGCGTTCCCCAGGAGCTGCTGGGGAGGTCAGCTTTGGGGAGCTGCAATCTTATCATTATTTGCAATTTGATAGTGAGTGAAAGGCCAGACCAACAAAAGCTCCCTTGTTCCCTGCCTCCCGTCCCCGAGTGCACAGCCTTAGACGTCCTACGGCCCTTGGAAGAGAAAAAGGCCATTAGAGTCACAGCCAGTCAGAGACCCCCGGGCTGCTGGGGAGCAAGCCCTCGGCGACAGGGCTCCGGTTGGATGTGCCGATGAATTTGCTTTCAAACCAAAATCTTGAAAAAGAGTCTTTCGGGGAAATTTTTGCAGAACCTGCTCTGCCTTGATCCCAGCTCTGGACCGGACGACGGCTCGGGTGCCGTGCACCTCGGGCTGTGTCCGCCCACGGCGGGAGCTGGGCACGAGGGGCCAGGCACGCTGAGGCCTGGAGCCCGCTGGGAGGGAGCCTGGGGTCTCTGACTCTAACGCGGGCAGGACCTCCTCTCAGGACAACCCAGGGCCCTTTCTAGGGTCCCAGGGCGAAGGTCACCTCCCTCTTAGCTCGGACACCCACAGAGCCACTCTCATGAGCGATACTCAAAACGTTCGCACCAGGCACTGAACTGCATGCCAGCGAGGTGCTGAGCTGGGGTGCAGGGGGCTGGGGTTCCAGGCTCAGGGCAGGGCAGGCGGGGACAGGCCGTGACACAGCCTCCCTCACCCCACAGCAGCTCCGATCACCCCGACTTCCCAGAACCCAGGCAGCATGGATGCTGGCAGGCGGCACAGGGTGCAGACCTCCCTGGACGGGGCGGTGCGGGTACAGAGGGCCCGTCTTCTCCCTGCAGCACCCGCGTGCCCAGCACTGCCCGCCACTCCTGAGCCCGGCAGACAGGTGGTGCAGCTGAAGTGGGCGGCGGGCCTTGAGGCCTTGACACGGAGGGAGGCGGCGGGGCCAGCACAACCCCGGGCAGGTCCGGAGGGTGTGGGTGAGGACCGTCCAGTGCCCACTCTGGTCAGCCGGGAGCAGTCCCTGTCCAGGCCCCGCCACATTCCAACTCTTCTGGGGGGGGCTGCGCCACCCGCCAGCCCTGCCGCGCAGGGTTCGAGAGGAGCTTCAGCATGGGGTCTGACGAGTGGCTTCTGTCGGGCAGACAGGAGTGACTGTGTCCACCCCACCAAAGAGCCCGGCTACAGGCTGGTTGCAACAAGGGCGGTGGGGCGGCGCCAGGCCTCGGGCCGGGACATCGGGCCGGCCGGACACAGGAAGGACTTACTCCGAGAGAGGTGATGCGGCACCCTGGCTGCTCGGTGGGTTTTGGGTGGTGGTCTGGGCCCCTCTGGGAACTTCGGGGTGCCCATCCCCCCAGAATGCCATGGTCACGCCCCACCCCTGTAGGCACTGTCCCTGGCCCCCGCCCTCACTGCACGCTGCGCCTGGTCAGGGTGGTGGGGTCATGGGCGGCCTTCGCCCCCTGTGCCCTTGGTGATGCTGAGCTCCTGTGTCCAGCTCCCCTCCCTGACCGGACGGGAGGGCCACCCTGACGTGACGGCATCGAGTGATGGCCTCTGGACTGGACACCCAGGCTCAGGCAGGGACAGACCCCGGACCTGTGTGCTCGGCCCTGCTCAGACCCCTGCCCCATCCCGCTCCAGGCCCAGCCCGAGCCCTCCGTGGGCCCCAGGCCCATCCCTGTTCACTCTGGGGCGGCCTTCGGCCCTGCGGCTCGGCTCCCTGGACACTCACCCTCCCAGGTCTCAGCACCTTCCGCCCTGAAGCTCCCCCACCAGGCCCTGCAGCCCCCCCCCCGCCCCCCGCCCGAGCCCGACCGTCTCCAGGGCCCCAGCGCACAGTGTGTCTGCTGCTCTGCTGCTCGGAGCTGTTCTTCACTACAATCAGCTGGGAGCCGGGTCCTCCCCCACTCCCCCAGCTCCAGACTGAACACGGGACACGGGGTGGGTGGGGGAGGGGTCTGACGCCAGAGCTCTGGGGACCCTCCGGAAGGGGGAGGGAGGTGATGCAGGGTGCTGTCTGCGGGGGTGAGCTGCCGGCCCCTCCCCAGAAGAGAGAGCAGACAGGCCTGTGGGCCCTGCCCCGTCTCGGGGCCTCTGCGACTCCTCAGGGCTTGGGAACGCCCCTCCCCCATGGCTGGAGCGCAGGAATAACACCCATAAATCACCTTCCGTGGGGGCTGGATGGTTCTCCAGAGCTGGGTCCGACTGGAAAGGGATCACAGCGCTTCATGATGTCGAGATTTATGGCAGGAGACGTGTGATCGTGTTTGACTTGAGTGCTCCAGCCCTCGGATGGGTTTTACTGCCAGTACCCGAAGGTCGCTCTGCGGGCCTGTGTCCCTGGGCGGAGGGGCCTGTGTCCCCGAAGGTCGCTCTGTGGGCCTGTGTCCCTGGGCGGAGGGGCCTGTGTCCCTGGGCAGAGGGGCCTGTGTCCCTGGGCGGAGGGGCCTGTGTCCCCGGGCGGAGGGGCCTGTGTCCCCGAAGGTCGCTCTGTGGGCCTGTGTCCCTGGGCGGAGGGGCCTGTGTCCCCGGGCGGAGGGGCCTGTGTCCCCGGTGGCCGCTCTGTGGGCCCGTGCACATGGCGCTGTGGGAGCGGATGGGCATGCATGCGGGTGTCTGCGTGAGTGCGGCCCCCTCTGCGGGAGGCCTTGGGGTGAGGACCCGTTTTGGGTGTTTGCGTCTGTGTGGACGCCCAGCAGGGGCTCCGGGTGTTGGGATGGGCTCAGGGACAGGGACAGGCTGCCTGGGTTCATGTCCTGCCTCACTCCAGGCTGACCGCTGATCGGGGCGGGGTCTCAGGAACCTCATCGCAAGCCACATGGGGCAGCACAAGCTGG